TTTCTGATACATTTTTTATGCATTTTACATTTTCTCCATTAACCCTGTAATGCCAAATGTATCTTATTTGATACATACAGTTTCTGAAATGTTTTGCGTCTGACACCTTTTTGCATAATTTAATGGTAAAAAACTTTGCTCAAAATCCTACTGTACACAATCAGATATACCTGATAACAGAGGGCAGAAGACTACACAAAAAATAATCTTGACTTATCGCATAGTAATTAATTATTAATATCAAAAATGTATTTCTGTTTTTTCTTTTTACATATTTTGTTAAAAGGCCAAATAAGGAATTCAAAGCAAAAAAAAAAAGAAGTAATTTTCTGTTTTGTTTTATTCTTGGATCGGGCTTTAAAGGGTTAAAGAGAAATATTTCTCCTGAGGTGTTGATGTCACAAAATGTCTGGTAAGTTAAGTTTAACTCATTTTCAAAGGCAGGGGAAAAAACTAAATCTGGGTACTTTAAATGGTGGCAAAATAAGCTTAATTGCTAAACTAAAGCATGATTGATTAAACCTCATTTTGATAAATACACTTAAAGATTTATGGGAACACAGTCTGAGATTTCTGCAGCGTTATTCTACAAGTAGAAAGAGAAAAATTGATTTATATGGATTATATCGAATCTGAACAAGGTTATGGATTTCAAGTCATATTTTAATTATCTTATTCATCTAAGCAGAGTATTTTTATTTCTTGTATTGCTACTAAATATTTTTTTTGCTGCAGTTTTTATTCTATTAAATGGGGTCTCTTAAAATTAGATCTTAGATCTCAATGAGTACCTTTATAAATAAACATTAAATAACAAAACGCTAAATAAAATTACCTTTCTCCGTCTCCCAGTCATTCTTTTACTTTTAAACGCCTGCAGATTTCGGTCTCTTTCTAGGATAAATTTAAATGATCTTTGTAATTTTCATTCTGTTTTCCCCAAGTGCACTCTGTCACACTCTGCTCTAACATGATGATGCTATTTGTCCTTATTTTAGAAGATCATTACAATTATTACTTGGCTCTCAGGGAAAGCTGGGACACATTAGCTCTGGCACAATATGAAGTGCTGTTATTGCCAGATTATCGCATCCTGTAAGACTTTGATGTTTATGCAACAGAACTATTGCGGTTGCCTGGTTTGTTCTGTCTGGGACTCTCAGATGTGATTGGATTTTTATTTCTCCTATCATTGAATTGTATTATATAATGTTTTATTACTTAAATAAACCACTGCATGAACAGTATTCTTACAAGACTAGTTTTATTAATCTACATATCTCTACTTTATATGCTCTTCCGTTTGTTTTTATTTCTTGTCTTGCTATAAGAAGAATCTTTGCAATGAAACAAGCAGATAACACTCTCACGATGATGTCTCTCTGTATTTGTCTCCACCAGAGATGGATTCCTTTCGCATCCTGCTCTACTCCCTCATCTTCTTGCTCAGCGTATTCGGCAACCTGCTGATCATCGTGGTCCTGACGCTGAACAAGCGCATGCGGACCGTCACCAACTCCTTCCTGCTGTCGTTGGCGGTCAGCGACCTGATGATGGCCATCTTCTGCATGCCCTTCACGCTCATCCCAAACATCCTGGAGAACTTCATATTCGGGGCAACCATGTGCAAGATAGTCACCTACCTAATGGGTAAGCTTGGCTTTGGTAACAGGAGCAGGGAGCTGTGAACAAAACGACAAAAATGGCGCCGCCAATGCTTCTGGGTCGTTTTCATCGAATGTCGGTGATTTTAAAGTAATTTTGAGTGATCATTGCACTTTCCCGGCGGGCAAATACAATGAAATTTGTACTCTCCCAACAATAAAAATTACTTGCCCCGGGAGATCGGGCGATGGTTAACATGGAGCCCTGGTGTGAGTTGAGCTGGATATCTGTCGCTTCATATTATCCACAAAATTCCACCTGACTATAGCTCTTCCATTGTCTGCTAGGTCGGACACTTTAAACACAGACGCACTTGATGTCACACCCACCAAACAGCGCGGGAACTTCCAACTCGAAATCCATAAAAATAGGCAAAACAGTTTATAGATGCATCGGGGCTGAACTACTGAGATGTCAGTTTACTCATCAAATGCTGTTTTAGTTTAAGTTTAGTCATAAAGCGTCAAATAATAAGGATATTTATAGATAGATGCTATAAAAAGATACTTTTCTGTAAAAATGTACATAATGTCTCTTTAAATATTTTACATTAACTCTAACAATCCAATGTGATTCAGCTGTTTAATCCAAATGCCTTCAAGATGGCAGCTACTTACACACCTAAAAATGGCTTCATATGCAACCAGGACCTTCTTTCTATCTACAAGGTTTACTTTTTCCCCTTCAGAGCCTCGGCGTCTCTGTAAAAGAGCTCCAACGGTCACACATCTTTGGGAGTGTGACTTAGCGATGAGCTGGCTCCCACTAGGCCAGAGTTAAGGTGCCACGTGAGGTCTGACTCAGACTGAGGCACAAGAGGTCGAGATCCGCTTTGAAACTTTGTCTCCTCGCTTTGAGCCTTCAATGGTTGAGGGGAGGTATTGAATGGTGGGGCTCACAATCCTATTATTGTCAGAGAAATGTGATGCACCATCTGTGAGGATACACCAGCCGAATCTCCTTTTCAATTACAGGGCTCTCTGAACTGGGAAAAGATGGAGGGTGGTAGCAGGCGCAGCTTTATCAGACTCTAAATGTAATTTTTGGATTTTTTTGGTATTATTTTATTCTCTATTTCACAGCCAAGACTGCAGGTTATATTAAATGATGAAAGACACTTAACCACGGAATAGAGTGTGTTCAAACTGTGAGTTACCCACAGCGATACACAGAGATGTGGAATAAAACCTTGAAATAATGAAAGCATTAATTTAACAAAACCCCAAATCTCTGTTAAAATTTCAGATGAATCTATGTTTAAGTACATTACAGTGTTCACTTATTAATATTTTTAAATTTTTATGGCAGTAATTTTCAACCCTGGCTCTCAAGGCAAACTGCCTTGCATCTTTAAGGCTATGTTCCCACAACAGCCTGAAGTGACCCAAATTCAATTTTTTTTGCCCGTATTTTTATTTTTTTTATACTTAATCAGGACAGAGCACATTAATGAACAATCTTATACTTCTGTACAGATTGTAAATGAGCCAGATTATAGCATAGTTGCTAATTTACATCTGTCGTCCTAAAGGCAAAACAACACAAGATCACATAATACAATACCAGTCAAAACACATAGACACACGTTCAATCAATGACGTTACAACAATAAAATTAGTGAGTGCATGACTGGGAACTTTTAGGAAGCTGTTTAAGGTGCTTTTTAAATGTGCAATAAGTGGGACATTCCCTGATGTTTGTTTGTTTGGCCGTGTGGTCCTGAACCTGATATGGATTTTATGTTTTCAACGGCGACCTTTGTCTGAACTGCCAGGTCGCATTCATCCGACCTGAATGCCATTAATACTTGACAAAGGTCACAATTCTGCATCTTTCTATGTAAAAGCAGCAAGAAAAACCACCATGGTGGGCAATAACGCTCACACTGAGCCTGGTTCTGCTGGAGGTTTCTTCCTGTTAAAAGGGAGTTTTTCCTCTCCACTGTCGCTACAAGCATGCTTAGT